AGATATAACGAATACTCGGTTAAGATATTTGTTATCTGAGTAAACTTATCTGAGTAGATTAACTAGGTAATTACCAAGCAATAATACCATAGACAAAAAAAAATTGTACTTTTTTAATATAAAAAAACATAAATCAAGTAGAAATAACTTTTTATATCTAAAAAATAAAATTATAATTGTATAAATTATTTTGGATGATTAATATATCACCAACCTGGTATATACTTTTTAAGAGGTGCTTCTAAATTTTTATACCACAACTTCTGCGAATTTATTGATTAATTGCACATTATTTGTAATCTTATTTGTTTATCCAGGTAATTCAGATAACCCGGATATACCCAGATAACCAAGAAGTCTAACCAACAATTAACCGAGTAAGGTTTTTTTGAACAGGTCCAACCCTTATTATTGAGTATGACTTAAATGCATAAGCAAGTAAAGACCATGAAAAACAAAGATTAGTTTTTTATACTTATTTAATATGTCTACTTAATTATATGACCTTACTAAGGAATAATATTTTTTACAAAGTAATGACAGTGCTAAAAATAAGAAGAATATTTTAATATTTTTAATATTATTAATTCTTGAAGCAGATATAGAGCCAAACATGTCAGCATACAAATCAAGTGATATATTAAACAAAATCAGTATTAAAGAAGGAGATTCTTTAGAAGAAACTTGAATCAATATCAATACTGCACTAGAATCAGTATTTGGATTGAACAAAAAATTAAACTTTCATAAAGATTGTGACAGATATTTAAAATTAATCCAAGCACTGCAGTATTGAGAACATTCTAACAAATTTCCCATATTGAATTAGAAAAAAAAAGCTGTATATACATTTGATGACCAATAGGAAATAAGATCCTCCAATCAAAAACATCCTTATAAAAAATATAAAAAATCAAATAATGATAATTTTGTCACAAAAATAGGTATAAATTTAATTTTTTTGTTATTAAACTGTATTTATATATTAATTCAAAATTAATTTTATTTGCAGACAATAAGATCTTTGAAATAGCCAAAGAATTACTTAAACTTAAATACAATAAAAGAATTTTACAAATTAATAATAATGAAAATTTCTTCATCAGCTTAAATTATTATAATAAAATTTGTGAACTTTTATTTGGTGAAGATCTTGAATCAATAAAACATAGCCTTATATTTTAAACTAGCTGAAGCAACTATAGCTAAGCTGGCTTAGCTAGTTAAGCCAGCCAATATAAAGCTGTTGGCTGGGTAATACAGCTAAGAGTCACCAATTATATAATAAGTATTTTTTTATATAACCCAAAATTTAAAGTCAAATACATTGAAACTAGGCTAGTATTAAGCTATAATACTAGCCAACTATATTATAACAAAATTAATATTTGGACAATTTGATTTAGTATATAAGCTACTATTTATTACAGTATTAAATTTCAATTATTTCAATCTGAAATTTTGATCAGTTTGGTTGTATAGCTAATTTATTTTCTAGCCAACTACTAGCATAGCTAGCTAACTAAAATTATGCAGCTTAAATTACTATTTTATTTTATTTTTTTTATAATTTGGCAGTTATGCTTTAACTTTATTAGGCTTTGTACAACTCATTTAGAATGTGTAAAATTTTACAACCGAGCATTTCAGAAGGTAAGTGATAAACTCTTAACTTGTCAGCAGATAGTATATGAGAACTATCTCTAATTGACAAGCGCCATAGCCCAAATTGTTACCTAAATTACAAGTTAAGACTAATCTGGTTACCAACTTGGTACCTATGTTCGACCTGCTATAGCAAGATTTTCCTCTTTCTAGACCCCTTCTGCACTTGGATATGACCCAGCTCTCAACAGTGGACCTTGCTGCCCATCATAACTACCTCTCCCTTCTTTCAGACTTCTTCCATCTAAGCCTGACAACAACAATTAAAACCCTTATTCATACATAAATATGAAAAAAATGAAGCCATATTTATGAAAGACATAAACATTTTAGAAAAAAAATAATCTAACATAAATGAACAAAGATAAAAAAAGTGAAAAAAAAGAAAGGTAGCCATGACACACTATTATAGCCTGTACCAGGCATAAGGATAAAAATTATATAATAATTGCAACTAATTACTATATCTCGATTGTAAACTGACGGTTTAACTTTGGACTTGTTCCAGGCACTAACTCAACTTGGGTATCTTCTAAACGGGGATGACAATCTCTTCCCTATACCATAGCACCATATTCACAAAACAACAAAACACATAGTTGCCTTCTACTGAGTTTATCCCAATTTGGTAGGTGTAAATAATGCTGATCTTTTGGAGGGATAAGCCAAAATACTCACTTTTTATCGAAAAATTTTGGTAGGACCAGCACAAAATGATGAAGAGAGAAAGACCTCTTGATACCACTTAAAGAAAAGTAAGTTACTAAAAACAACAGAAATAGTCTTCCTTCTAGCCAGAACTGCACTACTCGTATTTTGTTAGTAAGTGATAAACTCTGAACTTGTCAGCAGATAGCATATGAGAACTATCTCTAAACGACAAGTACCAGGTTTGCAGTGAGTGATAAACTCTAAGCCTGTCAGCAGGTAGCATATGAGAACTATCTCTAAATAACAGGTGCTGACTTATGGTTCCTCTTTTCATGTCTTATGTAGTTTGGCTAGTTAGTTTCTACTGTTTTTGTTGAAAAGTTTTTTCAGCAAAATTTGGTTCAAGTGATCATTAGAAAGAGTGAGCTTAAATTAATATTATAGACTATAATACTTTGTATAACAATAAATTTGTAGATCTTGGGATCCACCAAGCTAATTTTGATAATCTAACCACTATTACTTAGAGCTAAAAAAATATTTACTTATTAGTTTTAGGGTTAGAATTAGGATTGGAGAATTATAATATTAGAAACTAAAGTTAGAGCTATGAGTTTTTTATATTATTATCTAAAAATAGAAAATCTTGTATAACTATAGTGGAAATAGTAGCTCTCTATTAATAATATAGGTTACTAAGAGAAAATTTTCATAGTAAATCACAAATTTAGTTTCTTACTAGCACTATTAATGGTTACAAGTTAACTTCCCGAAATTAATTTTACTAAAATACTATTTTACCGAAGTCACAATACTAATATCCCATTTTACTAACAAGACATAATTCTGAAAATCCCATTTTATCAAAATTTTATTTAACTGAAAATAAATTTACTGATAAGTCATTTATCTGTAATTTTTATTTAACCGAATATTAAAAAAATGAATGTTATTTTACTGATATACTATTTTACCAAATGGTATATTTTTTTGACATTCTATTTCTTCAAAAATATCTTACTAAAAGCACTTTTACTGAAGGATGTTTTATCAAATTTATAGCTATTCTTATTAATTCTGGGTTACTTGATAAACCAAAATGGTCTACCACAAAATTTGAAGACCACTTTTCCAAAAGAACATAATACCTACCGGCCAGCATTATAACTAATACCAGCTAACTTTGTAGGTATTAGATACTTTTGGGAATCTGTTTTTTAAGATATTGTAGGTTTTACTACAAAAATCCTGAAAACCATTTTCTTGAAAGAACTTAATACCAACTAAATTGGCCAACATTATAACCAATATTGGCTAACTTTGTCAGTATTAGGTTCTTTCAGAAATATGTCTTTCTGGATTTTGTAGTAAAACCACCCAAAAAAGGTATATAATGATTCTTATATTGTCTTTTAAGTTAACCAGAAAAGTTAATGTCAAATAGCATTAAGGGAAAATTGCATAAAGAATTATGCAAATTTGTTAAATCAAGAGATACCTTGTTGGTGATTTTTTTTTGGAGGGAAACAGCTTTTGGGAAATAATCTTTTCAGATAATTATTTTTTGGAGAAACATCCTTTCAGGGAAATATATCATATAATATTTGTCGGTGAAAAGGTTTCGAAAAAAGTTCTTATCAGAGAAACAGGAGTTTGAAGAAAAGGTTTTGTCAGTGAAAAAGTCTGTCAAATAAATTTTTTTCGGAAGTTCAGGTTGTTGGGAATTAGCTGTGTTGGAAAAAAAAATTTGATAAAAATTTTTTCAGTGAAGTATAATGTCAGAAATATGTCTTGTCAGAAAAAAGGGATTTCAGTATTATGAGATCGGGGAAATAGTATTTCAGGAAGGTGGGTTTCGGGAAAGTAAGAATTAATGTTATTAACAAGGTTTTAATGAGGTTTTTTGACTAAATTTTTATATTTCATCAAAAAAGCATTAAAGCCTTGTTTATAATTACAACATTCTGTTTGTTATGATAATTGTTTAGAATTTATACTTTAAATAAATTTTATTCATTATCTTATACAACAAAAAAGAACTATAATGAAATTATTTTAATTCATTACAAAATTTAAACATTAAATGAACTTCACTTATGCAATAAAAAATCTGCTAATTTATCTATAAGGGGCATAACTAACAGTAAAAAGTACTTCAATTTTGTAAAAGATTAGCAATGAAAATTAGCTGTGATAAAACAATTTATTCATGATGGTATTGTGAACATTAAAGATTAGTTGTAAATAAACCTTTTTTATTCATGATGGTATTGTGAACATTAAAGATTAGTTGTAAATAAACCTTTTTTTACTTATGACTTCTAAATACGTAATTGGCTGTAAAAACGTTAAATTTTGAATTTCTAACGATAGCATACAGTATTAAAGTTAATATATAATAACAGCATGAGAATTTTATACCATTTGCCAGCAAATTTATTGTCAAATTGTAATGAATATATATTTCGTTATGATGACAGGATGGTTATATAGTATATCGATGTGCTCTCGAACATAATACTTCGAATTTTCTTTAATATTTACTTCATGATTTTCAACTATTTATAGCGTTAGCTTGACTATATATTGTGAGATGCAGAACTATTTTAACTATCATATATTAAATACAGTTTCTTGGTTACATAATAGCGTATTAATACATTACTACATTCATAAATTTGAAATTACTTCTCCGTTACGACAGAAATTTCCTCCTTAGATTCTTTTTTAATATCTAATTCATTTGATTCATTAAATTCTGAAGTCTTTGCTCTCTTTGCTGTCTCTTCCCACTGACTTTTTATTTTTTTATGTGACCCAACAAAGTCTAACTCCATACCAAGAAGTTCGCAGTATTGGTCAAGTTTTAAATCATTCGGATCTGTACCAAATGGATTTTCAATCTCATTTGCAATCTCTTCGACTCCTAGT